TCTGTTTGTCTCTTTCTCTCTCTCTCTCTTTCTCTGTCTTGTCTCTCTCTCTCTCTCTCTCTCTCTCTCTCTCTCTCTCTCTCTCTCTCTCTCTCTCTCTCTCTCTCTCTCTCTCTCTCTCTCTCTCTCTCCCCAATCTCTCTTGTTCATTCTCAATTCCTCCCACCCGGCACAACATTCTGTCTGTCTCTGTCTTCTCTCCCTCTTCTCTCTCTCTCTCTCTATCTGTATGTCTCTCTCTCTTTCTCTGTCTGTCTGTCTGTTAACCTCTCTCTCTATCTTTCCCCCTCTCTCCTCTCCTCTCTCTCTCTCTCTCTCTCTCTCTCTCTCTCTCTCTCTCTCTCTCTCTCTTCATTCCCCACTCAATCTCTCTCGCTCATTCTGAATTCCACCCTCCAGGCACTGAAATTATGGTGACTGACGGAATAATATGACAATTTTGGACGGAACTATACGCGATGCACAAATACTACTAAAAAAGGGAAAAAAAGGAAAAAGAACATTACCATAATCAATGATTCAGAACAAAGAAGGAAAAAAGAGACATTTCGAGTCCATTTGTTCCGCAGACGCGACAAAGATGGCGGAAGGGAGAGAGAAGAGAGAGAAAGTAATCCCAATATGCACACGAACTTTACACAGGGAAGTGCTGAATCCTATAAAATCTTATGATTTACGAGTCACGCACAAAACGGCCGGCGGAGACCCCAAGGCCATGAGTAAATGAGTGAGTGAGTGAATAAGTGAGTGAGTGGGCAGCTGTTTGGACCCCACCCACACCTCGGTCACGTGGCCAGCTGTGCTTCTGCAAGGAGATTTCGGTTTACATTGCTTTGTAGTAATGGTGGTGATATTAATTAATTATGAGTGACAGGCTGATGATTTCTCGTCGATTCTGCTTCATTTATATTCTATTATCTATCAGCAATTAATCTATTTTGCGCCAGAATGCAATTGCTTTTGAGACAGGAGCAGGAAGTCATCATGAAGATCGGGAAGGTCTATAGAAAGACGGCCCAATCGCCTCTATTTGCACAATCAGCGTCTGATGGCGTATTTCCTCTTGATCATCGGAAAGGAAGAGAAAGCTGGCCGGGCACTCTCGTCACTCCCGCACTTGATGGCGTCGATTCCCCGCGATCGGAGGATGCAAAATCTCCATCAGATTTCGCGGAAGAGCAATTGCGCCAATGGGTTCTCGGCCGCGGTTCTCGGGGCCGCGAAACGCTCGCTGAGAGGGCAGCACAGACGCACCAGCCTGAGGCCCCGAGGGTATAGCGTGTGCATACTGCGGTGGAATGATTTCTGGCGATGTACACACACACACACATACATACATACATACATACATACATACATACATACATACATACATACATACATACATACATACCATACATACAACATACATACATACATACACACACACATACATACATACATACATACATACATACATACATACATACATACACACACACACACACACACACACACACACACACACACACACACACACACACACACACACACACACACACACACACACACACACACACACACACACTCACACATACACACACGCACACACACACACAAACAAACAACAAACAAACACACACAACACATACACATACACACACGCGCACACACACACACACACACACACACACACCACACACACACACAACACACACACACACACACACAACATGTGTACTGTATGTGCGTGTATGTGTGTGTGTGTGTGTGTGTGTGTGTGTATGTATGTAAACAAGTTAAAATATATTTACCTCAGCACATGTCCAAAACAAGAAAATAACAAAGATACAAATTACCCAATTCTGAAATGAGGAAAGGAAAGGCATGTCACAGGAAAGGTCATGTTCGGGGGAAGAAGAACGAATGGGAATGACTGACCTTTGCTGACCTCGAACAGGAAGGTCAAAGATGAGCCGAGGCGAATTTCCTCTCGCCAAGGCGGACCTGGTAACAACGGCCAGATTGTGAATAACTTGACGGTTAACGAAAAGGAATATGGTGAAAGGCAGGGAGGATGAAGATAAAATGAAATAAAAAAAATTCCCGGTGCATAGTGAATTGATAATTACTTGTTCTGCTGCTATCTTGGCGAACCCTGGTCGTTTCTCTCTCTCTCTCTCTCTCGTTCTTTTTTTTCTCTCTCTCTCGTTCTCGTTTTTTTCTCTCGTTCTCTTTTCTCTCTCTCTCTCTTTCTCAGTCTGTCTGTTTCTCTCTCTTTCTCAGTCTGTCTCTGTCTCTCTCTCTCTCTCTCTCTCTCTCTCTCTCTCTCTCTCTCTCTCTCTCTCTCTCTCTCTCTCTCTCTCTCTCTCTCTAACGCTTCCTTCGAACCTATTCAGTTTTGCTGTTTCTGGATGAACAAAATCCTTGTCCTGGGGATGTTGGTCCGTTTCACCGTTCTGCCTTCGGTGCCTACGAACTGTTCCTTCCAACCAGCTCTCTGTGTCAGCTGCAAGCACAGTGTCATTATAGTATATGTATGTGTATCTGTACTAGATATGTATGTATGCATATGCAATCACAAGAACTGATGAATGCACATGTAAACACATTTTAATTAACACATGTTCAGAGAAACAGACATAAACAGACGAAATTTCTTTGATCACTTTCCAGGTCATGAACGCTCGTATGAGGTCAGAGTAGAGTCGATCGAGTGATCAATGGTGACTGAGATCTTTTAACTTGCAAGATGAATCCACATCAGCTCAGATTACAGAGATTTGAAATCGGTATTGGCGTCTTTGAAACAGCATGCTTGCTTGTGCCTTCCTTCTCTCTCTTTCCTTTCTTAGGCTTTAAGGCTTATAAGCTCCGAATTGCAATAATAGATAGTTCTTAGTAAAGATGGAATGACTGAAAATAGTAATCTCCGTATGCACACACACACACACACACACACACACACACACACACACACACACACACACACACACACACACACACACACACACACACACACACACACACACACACACACACACCTGCTCTATTCTACCTTTCATAAATACATAATTATTTTCCTCCCGTGTGAATAATACCACCCTTTCAACTCGTATATGATAAACCGTATTCATGTTGACAATTGTGGAAAGGTATGAATGAGAACGAATATCTTCACAATACAAGAGATGTATTTGCCCGGTTTCGATTATATATCTCATGTATTTCTGACGAAGATGTAATCGAAACCGGTCAAATACATCTCTTGTATTGTGAAGATATTCGTTCTCATCCATACCTTCTGTATATGATATTTTTACTCTCTGGCATATAATAAATATTTTAATTTATTCGACGGAAATGAGCGCATAATAAATCAAGGATAAACTAAGGAAAATTACGAAATCAAATAACCAAAGGAGAGGCAAGTGGCCATCCCCTTCGTGCTGTCAATCATAAAAACTGACCTCACCATCTCTTTTTTTATTTTCCTTTCCCACTTTTACTTGTCGATCCTAAGCACCCATTTTCTAACCCTCAATCATATAGTACAAATGAAGTACATTCGCGAAGTCTTTTATTCCTAGAATGAATTCGTTCTTATGAAATTCTTTTTAGTTAAGTGGCCGACATCAGCTGACGTACGAGTTTCATCTCAATTTCGGAAAGTTTTCGTTCACGCAACTATCACTCACTCAGTCCCTCACGCAAACACAAGAGCTTTTGCGACTCTCCGTGCATGAACCGCCGGGATTTCCATGTACATCGTTTCTAGGCAGATTATTTCGTCCATAATTAGCAGGGCGGGTCAGAGATTTTCTGGTGGGGGCACAGGGGGTGACACAATAAATGGGGGGGGGGGCGTCACATTATATATACAGGGGGCCATTACGACGAGTCAATGACCATTAGGGGGTCACACGGGATGGCCAATCAGATTGTAGGGGGGGGTAGGTGCCCCCCGTGCCACCATGGAAGCCCCGCCTCTGATAATTAGGGGTTTGCTAATTACGAGGGTTTAAAATCTTGGTATAAACAGATATCCATATACACAGAAATAAATATCTATCGATCTATCAAATAAACACGAATTCTTCTATTTGTACGGTACATATGTATATCAAGACTGATAGATGTGCATTTATTTTGTGTATTGCGTGTCATGAATGTCATTGAGGTCGGGCCTGGCATAATTTTAACAAACCGACTAATGTCTTCACAACCGACCTATGTCTTCACAGGAGATTCGTGGTAATGGCGCCCATGTTGTCCGAAAACCTTAGCTCTTTGCTCCAAATTTTGCCCATGACGAGTATCCTTGCACTAAACTTTTTATTATCATATTTATCCTTGTCTCTTTCTGTTCCGAGGCGGATTGCTGTTGTTCTCTCCTTTATCTGTATTCCCATTCTATCGCTATCAAGAAAATGATTGAAATGAACGCAAAACAGTGTAAAATCATAATACGGCTTAAAACACTTAAAACAGTTCAGATGTCTACGTCGGGAACGCCACCGAAATGTTGTGTGTGTGTGTGTGTGTGTGTGGTGTGTGTGTGTGTGTGTGTGTGTGTGTGTGTGTGTGTGTGTGTGTGTGTGTGCATACGGAGATTACTATTTTCATTCATTCCATCTTTAATAAGAACTATCTACTTCCATGCCATAATTTTGAAAGCCTACATTAAATTATTGATTTACACTTTTAGGGAACCAAGATCCGTAAAGTTAAAATTATCAGTACATTTCTTAGCGCTTATGGAAACGACGGTAACTAATACACAGTCTATCATTATCTCTCAACTACAGTCTATCTTACAAAGACCAGTTCACGAATACGTATACAAATACACACACACACACACAAACAAACACGCACACACACACACACACAATTACACACAAAAACACCCACCCACACGCAAACAAACACACAAACAAACAAACACACACATACACACACTCAAATAAACAAACACACACACACACCTCTTCTCCTGACCTTCAACAAGGAGTATCGAGCGCGCCCCGGCCGGAGCGAGCGGGCAGACGAGCAGTGGCAAAGGTACAGTCGAGACAGCATGAGCCTCCGCAGTGGCTGTGGTGGGCGCGCTCGGGGTTACACACTCGAGCATCAGGTGGTTAAGTGGTAAGTGCGCCAAGAGGAAGGGCTCGTGAATGTGCCGGGACTGTTGCATCTGCGAGTAGCACGAGGGAATAGCCGGGTCGTTGCGTATTCTCCTCGGGCAGTGAAGGCAACACGACGATAAACTGGAAGGTGCATCGGCTTGGACAACCGCGCGGAAAGGCAGAGCGTGGGAAGTGCTGCGCGTTTGGGGGAAGCGGGAAGGCCCCGTCGGCTGCCCCGGCGTCGAGGGAGTTTGCTTCGTCGCTGACTACTAGGTAGATTCCATGTATATATATATATATATATATATATATATATATATATATATATATATATATATATATATATATATTATATATATTGTGTGTGTGTGTGTGTGTGTGTGTGTGTGTGTGTGTGTGTGTGTGTGTGTGTGTTGTGTAATTATATGTATATGTATATATATATATATGTATATATATATATATCATACATATTTGTTTGCATATATATATATATATATATATATATATATATATATATATGTGTGTGTGGTGTGTGTGTGTGTGTGTGTGTGTGTGTGTGTGTGTGTGTGTGTCGAGAGAGAGAGAGAGAGAGAGAGAGAGAGAGAGAGAGAGAGAGAGAGTTAAAGATATATACGCTAATAATGTTTTTTTTTTTTTTTTTTTTTTTTTTTTTTTGCTTACTACATATTTACAGTATAATGTCCACTAAATTAAGGTAAATTACTCCCGTCTAATAGCCTAACTACAACTGATTGCTACCATTCATAGAACCTGAATTGACAATAATAGAGATTACCCTTCAGCTTCCGTTCTAGCAATAATGGTAACAATAAAACGTAAACATTTATCATTATGCTCCCTCCTGCCTTACTACCTGCGTCTCTGCTGAAGTATAAAACCTTACCTTCTTCACATACATATTGACAAAACCTGTATAGTGCCGTGCAGATTTCCTCAGTCACATCGCAGACATATTTCTTGCACAAGCAAAGGCATGGTTATATCTCTACGAGGTAATTACCTTAAGTAACGTTAAGTGATTTCAGTTAATAATAGCAAGTCGCGAGTGAGGTCCCGACAAGCCACCTGCTGTAATCTCTGCTCTACTGTGTATTCGTTTCCCCTTCTTTACTCCTTCCTTCCTTCGTTCTTCTTTTTCCCCTTTCGTTCTGTGTGAATATCTCTTCCTTCATTCCCTCTCCTATTCATCATCCGTTTAGTATTTCTCCTCATCCGCTCTCTTTCGCAATCCGCTCTTCTTTTGTAATTTGCATACTTCCTCCCTCTTTACAACATTCCTTCACATTTCTGCTGCACAACCCTTACAAACAGCTGCAGAGGTTCCGCACGTATCTGCCACTCAATCCTACAAACAAATAACACGTAGTTGTCCCGTAGAAACCACACAGAACTACCACAGACAAATAACACATAACTGCTCCATACCAACGTCACATACTTGGCTCATAACTTCGACTTTAAAATCCCACATAAAAAACTACATGCCAACCGCGCATACATGGCTCACAATTACTCCCCAAAATAAACCCATACCTGCCCCTTACCAACACACACACATAGCCCACAATTACCGCAAACTACTACGTAACTACTCCGCACCAACCACGGAACTACCCCACATATATCCCATCCAGCAGCTACCCCAGTGCAACACAGTCCCGCGAAGGAGATTCACCCTTCCACTTTTGAGCAATAACGTAAACAAGTCCTCATTGCTCCTTATCCTGGCGCTCCATAATGACAAGCAGACTAAATTTTATTTTCTCTTCACCGTCACGGGAAAGAAAAGGGTGAATTTCAACTTGTTTGCGGATTACATATGCACGCTTTGAACTTTTTGAAGAAGAAAAAAAGGGATTTAAGTGTGTTTGCTGTACTTTCCATACATGTGTTGCATATTCGCATGTGCAGGCTCACTTATATAAACAGAAAATGTCATGTTTTCAGGGTGAACTAGAGATTTATACAGGAAGTGCATGCGAATTTGTCTCCAGTGTGTAAGCAGACACAATGAGAGCCAGAAGAATACAATATTATAGGTTGTTATACATGGTTACATGCATAACAATGCTTATGAATTCAACCCCCCCCCAAAAAAAAAAAAAGTATTTAGACACAGTCCTATATGTAGACATGAATACAGATACTGATGTAAATTCAAACGTGAATGCATATATTGAATACATTGAATACATATGCGTACATGTATTCCGACTTCTGCGATAGTCCAGTGGTTATAGTCTTGGATGTGTGTGTGCTAATATATATATATATATATAATATATATATATATATATAATATATATATATATATATATATATATCGATCGCAAATAGAGTATGAACATAAAATTAACAAGAGCAAAGAAATCTTAAAATATATTTTTGCGGAAAAATAAAGGACATGGACCGTTTGGGATATTATACTCAAAATTTGCAACTAGTCTTCATATGTCTGCATTTCTCACACACACACAAACACACACACACACAAAGGAAGGTGTGTATGTGTGGATTTATATTTGTGCGCCAGTATACACACACACAAGGAGAAAAAGTAAGTGAATATACAAATGGTTGATATTTTTTTCAGTTTTTGATCTTGCATTTATTCCCTTTGAAATCTTTGCAGCTTTTCACATTTCCTTTGCAGAAATTGATACAAAAATGAAAAAAAGGAAAACAAAAGCGGAAGGAAAGAATAGTGAGGAAGCATTAGATAATAATACAAAAAAAAAAAATAATAATAATGGACGATAATTTCTCCCACATCGCAGACACTAATACAAAAATTATAAAATAAATAAATAAAAACCTGAAGAAAATAGTGAGGAAGCATTAAAAGATAAGGATACAAAAGAGAAAAAAAAACTATTTCTACCACATCGCAGATTAAAACAAAAATTATAAAATAGATAAATAAATAAATAAAAATCTGAAAAAAAAATCTTCCACATCGCAGAACCGATACAAAAATTAGAAAAAAACGGAAGAAAATAGTGAGGAAGCAGTAGGAGATACGAATACAAAAAAAAAAAGAAGGAAAAAAAAAACATAATTCCTTCTACATCGGTTATTAAGTTATTAAAGCCACATCCGTTTCCTTTCTCCCCGGACAGCCCGGATGGCCAAGACTCGCAACGCCAGGGATTCGGACGAGCGGCCAGCCTCGCCGTCGCCGCCGCCCGAGGAAGCCGCCGTCCTCATCCCCGACTTCGACTCCGTCTTCGACTACATCGGCGGCTTCGGATGGTACCAGTCAGTGAGCATCTCGTCCGGCTGAACATTCGTGTCCATAGTTAGCTAACTGTTTAACTGCCTAATTGTCTGTCAAACTGTTTAACTGCCTCGACCGCTCGACAACAGTTTATCAAAATTTGAATGACACATCCTGCTTTCGGATAATGTCATAATCACGCATCATGTGCAGGCTTCTGACACTCAATCGTTAGCCTTTTATCGGACGACCTGCCATCACAGATATCACCGGGGTATCAAGGCCGCGGTGTTGCTCATTTTGTGTCCTTTATATCAGCGTGGTCGTCTTTGCAAGGCCGCGCTGAACAATATGGCGGTGCTCCTAGAACTTTTTTTTTTTTTTTTTTTTTTTTTTTGAGAAATGATGTGAGGGAAGATTTTAAAAATTCTTTACACATATTCTTTCCTCTGTCACTTCGACTCATACTCACTGCTAGTTTGTGCTTCATTTGATATAGTTAATAGTTAATACAGTTGATCCAGGCTTCATCTGTTTTGGTTTTACTCAATAGATTAACGTTTTCTCTGAGCAGCTGTTCCTGCTTGCTAAAGATGCGCAATAAAGTCAATCAGTTCTGTTAGTCGGCGAATGTAAAGAATTGTGCTGATGTATTTCATAAATCCCTTGACTTTTTTCCTTTCACTTCACCATTATTAGGACAAATTCTTAATAATAGACGATATTATTCACTGTTGGAGGGTGATTGGTGATTGCATAAGAAATCAAGCTCAAAAGCAATGAAGTTTCCTAAGAATACGATCACATATGACCAGAATGATCAGAATGCATTCGTTCATGATCATAATTAAGTCAAATTCTTTATGATATTCGACAGTATTCGCTGTTGGGAGGTTGGTCATTACGAAGACAATATTTGGAATGTTTAGATGCAATTCCTATAGATCTTATTGTTTCTACAATCGCATCCGGAAAGCACAATCACTTGTAGACAGACCATCAACCCGACGTGCATACAAAGCTCTCTCTCTCTCTCTCTCTTCTCTCTCTCTCTCTCTCCTCTCTTCTCTCTCTCTCTCTCTCTCTCTCTCTCTCTCTCTCTCTCTCTCTCTCTCTCTCTCTCTCTCTCTCTCTCTCTCTCTCTCTCTCTCTCTCTCTCTCTCTCTCTCTCTCTCTCTCTCTCTCTCTCTCTCTCTCTCTCTCCTCCCTCCCTCCCTCCCTCTCTCTCTCTCTTCTCTCCCTCTTCTCCTCTCCGTCTTTCATTTCAACTCGCGGCTTCTCCACAGATCCTCTTCGCCGCCACGTGCTACCTGTGCGTGCTGTGCTGCTGTGTTTACTTCGGCCAGCTGTTCATGACGCTGACGCCGCCCCACTGGTGCCGCGCCCCTCCGGAACTCGAGGGCCTCAACCTCACGCAGGAGGAGCTCAAGAACCTTACCATCCCCAGGCACCACAACGGGAAGGAATTCCTCTCCTGCTACAGATACGATGTCAACTTCACAGAGGTAGTTTTCAGGGAAGTTTTCCTCTCGTGGAAAAGCAGTTAGGAAGTTCTTGACTTTTGATTCCAATCTATCAGTATTTATAGTGTTGAAATATATATTTTTTTTAGTATCAGCATTTATAATATTGAAATATATTTTTTTCAGTCTATATTATTACTTTCTAATATGCCAGCTGCTTTATCATCTCAAGAAGGAGGGGCTCTTGAATAATAATATAGTTACATAATTAATGCCGGTCTATCAGTATTTAAAAAATTGAAATATCAATTTTTGCAGAATATACTTTTCATATCTAATATGCCAGCTGCTTTTTCACCTCAATAATCAAGGGGCTTTTGAATAATACTATAGTTACGAGTATATAATAATGTAGTACTATAATAATAGCAATTCTGTTCCTTTCAGATTCTGGAGAGTGACTCGCCGTGGCCGGACCCATCATGGCCACATACCACCTGCACCTACGGATGGACCTACAACTATTCTTTCTACTATCCGACCATCACCTCTCAGGTATTTTAGCCTTTGTCATTATTACTATTCGTTGTAGGAGTATCTTTTTTTGATTGATAGCTATCCCATTTTGTGTGTTGAAGGTACAGAGGAAAGTTTAAATACAATTTTGGTTTATTTTGTATAGAAAAAAGTGTGGGCTGTGCAAAAAGTAAATAAACAAATAGATAAATAAATAATAATAAAATAAATGGAATACATATTTTTAAGGGATCTGTAACGAAAAGATGCATCATCAATCACTCAAACAAAACGTAGAATCATCCCAAACTTTCAGTATTTTTACGAAAAAAAAAAAATGTCAAATTCCCTTCAAGGCGCCCAAGAATATTCGTCTTGAAAGCTCAGTTCCACACAATTCACCTGAACATTTAATTAATCAGCGAATGACGACTCACGACCACCCGCCTCTCGCCAGCTGGACTGGGTGTGCGACGAGGACTGGCGACCGGCGCTGGCTCAGTCGCTCTTCTTCGTGGGCTCCATGGTCGGCACGCCCACGCTGGGATGGGCGGCCGACGTGTGGGGAAGGCTTCCGCTCATCGTCTTCACCAACATCTTGGGAGGCGTTGCCGGGGTCGTGTCTGCCTTCAGCAACTCGTTCGCGATGTTCGCTGCGCTGCGCCTGCTGGTGGGCTTCACCTTCGAACAGATGCTCATGATCGGGTACATGCTGAGTAAGTGCGGGTGCTCGTGGTCGGATACGTGCTGCTCAGTAAGTGCGGGTCTCTCTCTCTCTCTCTCTCTCTCTCTTTCTTCTTTCTTTTATGCTCTCTCTCTTTTCTTTCTTTCTCTCTCTCTCTCCCCTGCGCGAGCGAGCTGCCTATATACGTATGTAAATAATCCAATTTGCGAGAATGGACAAAACAGGGTGGAAGAGAATAAAAAAAAATGTTAAGGGTTTGGACTAAAACAAATTCGTTATAATAACATTGACGGTGATGAAGATAAAATGAAACACAACCATAAAACAAAAACGTGCGGGGGGGGGGGGGAGAGGGGCTCTTTGGGCGTCTGTGCTGAGAGCGAATTGTTTGTCCTGCTGAGTGATCAGTCGAAGGGAAACCTCCGGCTGTTTCTTCTGCTGACGAAGGCTTCCCAACTAAACGAAAAGTTGGCAATAAATATAGCTTCACAAGAATAATTGTCATATTCATCCAGAGTAAATATTTGATAAATTAAATCACTTGAAACCTCATCATTATATTCTTTATTTGCTAGATTATCGCATGTAGGAGGAATAGTAATTCTATGTGATCTACAAATTATTTAAATAGGAAGGTGACGAATCAGTAAAGTAGGAACAACGATATTAACTTTAAATTCCTACAAGATTTAAAACTAAAACCCGTAAAATTCCTACAAGATTTAAAATAAAACCGTAAAATTCCTACAAGATTTAAAACTAAAACCGTAAAGGCAGAAATGAAATTAGGAAAAATAATCTTATCCTTGTTGAATGAATGCCTGTCACGTCCTGCTATCGGAGTCACTCCTGTCGATCTAAAGTGATAGCCGTTAGTAGCCAGGCGGAGTGCTTGCTAGTGTAGTCGTTGGCAGCTATCTGTGTAGTATTACAGTTGCATTATATTTCTTAGCACTGAATTTGTGTTTCCGCAAATTCAAATTCCGCATGTTCGGAATAGATATCAAATCGATGAAGTAAAAGCCGTGTCACATTTGGACTCTTTCCGCATTGCTTTTTTACGCTGGTATACCACAGAAATCGTGGCCATTTTGGCTCGCGCAGTCACACTAGCGACGAGAACCACGGAAACAGTCCGACCAAAATTTCTAAACACAGAAAGATGGGTTCAACCCCCGCACAGGCTCTGGCGATGATGGACGCTATTCTGGCTATGTGGCGACGATTTAATGCGAAACAACGAATGTATAATGTTAAATAAGAGCGTATTCTTACTACTCTCATCAAGTCAGCTGATCGGGGGAAACGTGGACACAAATGTAAACAAACAGGCGAGCAGGTAGCTACCAACTTGTATCTGTTTTAACTAAATACAAGAGAGAATTTTGCCATTTTTTATATTATTTACAATTTAGACTGTTTTTTGAATCGTTTTATATTATATATAGATTTTTTTTGGCATTATTACAGCGATTATCTATTTATAG